GGTGCAATATGAGCGAAAAGCCTATTTTTGTTACTATTGTTGATCGGTACTCTCTACCGTAGACCAAATCAGGCAATGCTTTGTCATATACTAAAATTGTTGGGTTCACATGACATGTAAAAGTATTTATTTATTATTACAAGTTATGCATGTGTTGTTTAGTCATTTTACGTACCAAAATAACCACTACGCATGCGTATTGTTCCATCAAACGAACGTTTTTAGGTCATGATAAATCAATATAGACATCAATACACAGTAGTAAACAACAATAATAAAAAATACATGTTCTCGTCCATATTTCACCAGACTGAGTGCAAAACGTAATATTTATCGATTTGACTTTCTAATCTCATTTTCCATTTCAACAGATATTCCTAGAAGTCCATCCGTACGCCTGCCCACTGACAGGGAAATTGAGGACATTGCTGAACACCATAGGTTAAATCTTAGCAAAGCAGAATTCCAAGCAATTCAAAGTACAGTGTATATTTCGTTGTATATACATAACCATACATTACACCCGATTATTTTAGCTATAACAACTTACGTCACCATTCAACGAAATGTTGTCCCCCCCAAAAAATCATATTTCTAATACCTGAAAACAAAAGTCGATCTAAGCAGTTAAATATTATGCATATAAAATGGAGAATATCAAGAATGTATAAGATGTGGTATGAAAAATTGTGAGATGATCGTAATAGCGCAAGACAAACGTACATTTCTAAAAATAGTAAGGCTAATGATTGTTCGTCCCAGGCTGTTTCTGCTAGTCTCAAACACGGCGCTAATCCATCTCATTTGTGTTTGTACAATCGTGCAAATGAGATCGCGAGAACTATATTATCGTACATAATAGAAAAAACATTGAAGCTATACTCTTAGCAAATGCTTGATCATTTCAAATCAAATTAAAGGTTATATTGACGCAGTAAGTCCCTGGAATCCGACGAATATATTAAACAAATATACAAAAGTTTTTCAGCACATTTCCCTTGATACCGATATTTCAAATTAGTGTAAGTAACTATGTAGTCTATTTCTAACTGGGGGCGTCAATATTATATACATTAAGGTACAACCTACTCAAAATATTTCTATTTTGAGAAAGTTGGTCATGAATCGGAATGACAATGTTTATTGGTTTATTGTGTACTATAATGAATCTATAGATCTGGTTCTGGTTCTACGGTAACATGGAACATCATTCATTTTTGTTACGTCGTATGTTGGAAACATTTGCTTAAAATTTAAAATATTCTAGAACAATTCCGAAATGATTCAGGATAACAAAAAAACATCTTCAGGCTCGATAATAAATTGTTAGAGATAAGTGTACAGCCAACAATTTGGGATAATTTCTCAACCATACTTACTTATGGTTAAATTGCTCAAATACTGACAAAATGGCCGTCATTCATTAAAATACAACCATCAGTTTCTCAAAAAATTGGGTCAAGACTGGTGAATTGTAATTGCTTTTTAAAATCAGTGTTGGCCGGAAGTACAGGAGACGCGCCCTTTAGCTACTGTAAGCCCGTTTTCATCTAAAAGACTTGTGATTCCTGTAGTCGTCGGTCAAGATTTAAGTTTTTTACGAAGTTTTACTACATTCCACAGCAGGAATGGCTACGTGTAACTTATAACAATCTAGATGGCACAATTCATATTATATTGATGATCGTTCGTATTGATTCCTGAATGTTTTTTTGATATTAGATGAGATTCATGAATCATTAAAGGACTACGACTTATTGGATGATTGTGAGGATGTAGAAACTTATATCAAATATCCTCGCACGCCAGGTCAAAGACCAAAACCCGCTGAGAACGTTCATAATGGATGGTAAGTGAGGTCAATAAAGGTCAAAAGCTGAATATTCGGCATTTATACGTAAACATGTATTTTGTAAGAATAATATATTATCGATCATTGTAGATGGTTAATTTTGTTTTGGCAACGTGATAAAAATAACCCAAATCGGATCGTATGTCCATCTCTTTTTGTATTAGCAAACATATCACATTAACAGGCATATTTAATTACGTGTTATATTGAAGGTGTTGGCGATGTGATATTCCAGGGGCTGGTAATGGCAAACTAGCTGGTAAAACCTTTGCTATTAAAGACAGTATATCGATAGCTGGAGTACCACTACGATTTGGTAGTCACATTCTCCATGGTTACACCCCAGACTACGACGCCACTGTGGTTACCAGGATACTAGATGCAGGTTGGTTACTCAATTCCATCAGCCAATTGAGTAAATGTTTGTCCCGGGAATATCGACAAATCGGCTACCGACAAATTTATGCGTAATTTTTGTTCTAGGTGGTCACATCATCGGGAAATCTACTACCGAAGATTTCAGCATATCGGGAAGCAGCTTTACCTCGTCTAGTGGACCGGTGAAAAATCCACATGATGCTTCCAGAGCCGCTGGAGGATCTAGTAGTGGTAGCGCTACATTGGTATCTATCGCAATTGTATTCATTTTCCAGCATGCTGGTTTCTATGAGGACAACTACTGGTTATACACAATTAAATTAAATTATACATTTTTCAGGTGGCACATGGAGTGGTAGACATGGCGCTAGGTACAGACCAGGGAGGCTCAATTCGTGGGCCAGCATCCTGGTGTGGCATAGTTGGGCTGAAACCAACGTGGGGTCTGGTTCCGTACAGTGGTATATTTGCCATGGAGCCGACAGTCGACCACGTGGGACCGATGACAAAGAATGTGTATGACTGTGCTTTATTACTTGAGGTAGGATGCGTGCATTGACTCAGTCATATCTAAATATATAAAGGGAATCCATCCGAAACGTATTCTAAAACATGATCAAATAAAGAAAAAAAATAGATGATGGACTTCAAGGTATAAAACAAGCAAGAAGTGTTAGGTTTTTCGAAAATATTACTCTACACCACATGTGGTACATAATCAAATAGCTCGTGTCAAAATGCCGTGGCATATACATAAGAAAAGTGAGGTTGATGTCTTCTGAGATTCACTGTCTGAAATAATCGGTATACTTATCAACATGCTCAAGATGCATACCAATAAACCTTTCGAATGTTTAGAAAAGTAGCTCTCTAGAAAGACCTTGATTTAATAGTTTGCTGCTTCCGATACAACTCATCTATATAGATATTCTTCCGTAATAGGTACTAGCTGGTTACGATAACGGGTTTGATCCAAGACAACCAGTCGGAATAACAGTGCCAGAATATACTAAACAGGCAAGTATGGCTTATTGTCCGACTCACTTGTTATTCAACTAAACACATTTCTATTGTTGTGATCACTAGCGTTGTGTTCGGAGGACTGTGACTTACTTAATAGCTGATAGCAATTACACGTATAGATTCCAGATTCGACCCAAATGAATACACAATATTAGTTCATTACAGAGCCCTATTCATCTAAACCGTCAGCTGAGGTAACCCTCTACCTCTTCCCTCCTTCTCTCACAAAGTCTTACAAACTCTATCACAAACTCTAAGGCGTGGAAGAGTTAACATGCGATCAGCCAATTGATGCTGTCATTGACACGATCACGTGATTACCAGGAATGTGTCTCGCGGTTAAATCCTTGCGAAGTTACGACTACTAAATACAATGTAATACATGTTTATAATGTCTACTCTAAACATGCAAGTTATTGATTCTAAACGAAAGTGCAACGACGCGTGAACCAAATGTGCGTACATAATGTCGCTATGGCAACACTATATTCGAATATCAACACCGAAAACGTTAATGTAAAGTAAAACATTGTTTGTTTTTTCATATATGTATTGTTCAGCTCACGAAAGATTTATCTGGTATCAGAGTAGGTATGTTGGCGGAGGGATTTCAACATCCTGGTGGTGAATATGAAGTTAATAATATCGTCAAATCTGCAGCTCATCGGCTACAAGAAGTAGGAGCGACCATAGAAGACGTATCAGTACCAATGCACATAGGTACATCATTCAAAAATGTTCTTTGTTCGAATTTGTATTTAATTTATATCATTTTTTTTAATTAAGTTTATCGTCATTTATTATCTATTATAATATAAATTGGACGCGATTAGTTGACTCTATGTGTGGTCTAATGTACATATATATGATCTGTGTGGTTCGGAACTATTTTTATTTATTAAGCCTCTGTTTATTGCTATTCGCTATGTGATGTTTGTCTCCAAATATTTCGTTCTGTAGATAACTCTTTACTATTATGGGCATGACATCTCATTTTTCACCGATTGATTTTTGTGAGCTTTCGCGATTATCAACTCGTTAAAAAAACTAGTAGCAAGTGAATACATTTAATAAAATAAAATATTGAAAAATAACTTAATTAAATACATATTTACCAACAAAATTAAAAACGTCCAAATAATTTTAACCCAATTGCATTTACGCCTATATGACATCACTTTGGTCCCCTGCCGTTTGGTGTAAAATCTAAATCTCATATGAGTAACACGTATCTTAGGCTTTTATTCCCGTTTACAGGTGTGAGTGTAGTTGTTCATTGGGAGATAGTTCGCCGTGGTATCCATCACTTAGTGTCAGGGAATAGTAAGTCTCGTTTAGATCAGTTTAGAGACTGAATTTGTCTGTATTTTAGTTTCGATTTCGAGAAACAATTACTTGTAGTCGGGTGAATGTGAAGTTATATAGTCAGTGAAATTATTATTTATTCCAGGTTTTATTGGGACTAAAGGAGAATATGTAACAAGTCTGGAAGACACATTACATAACACATTTCAATCACAGAAGAGTCAAATGAGCCTGAATTTAAAGGTAGTCAGACGAATGTGGGCATAAAATGCAAGTTGGCAGATTTTAAATCATTTAGGCCGTAATTAGAAAATAATCTTCCCTAGAACGTACATTAGTCCCCGGGCGTACTAATATTTCCTGCCTTTTAAAACCAGGCGTTCAGTTCGTTTGTTACAGTTTCACACAAGTTGAAATTACATACAGTATTCATATGTTGTCCACCAGAATTATATTACAAATATACGCACGGATACTGAAAATTTAAGAGTTATATTTTATTAAACCTGACTGGATGTTTGTGTTACACAATCATTTTTCTAATTAATTTACATGGAGAATATTTACCCGAATAAGAAAACTAAAATTATAGTTCACTATCTTATGTTGTCATAATGTAAGGTTAAACAAACATTTAGGACATGCAATGTAGTGTGTTGTCATTTCTAATATACGACATCCTGTGTTGACAGCTCATGTTCATAACAGGGGAATATTTAAAGAGCAATTATGGGCAACGTTTCTACGCGAAATCTCGGAATATAGCAAGACAACTGACTGCCAAATACGACGAAGTACTTGAGAACTACGACGTCCTCGTGTTGCCTACGAGACCCAAAGCTGCTAAAAAATTGCCTTCTAAAGACTTGTCTGTGAAAGGTAAGTGTAAAGAGACACAGATTCTTCTTTGTGGTGTTATGGATTTGTGAGCATGACATCACGCTCTCGCGCGATAAAGCCTACTTATTAGACATGTCAACTTTTGAAGCATTGATGGAGTAATAACAAATACAACTAGTATCCAACGCTCGGAATATAAGTCTCATACCTGTCCGACAATGTGTTAATTATTTCGCCATACAATAATCTGCATAGGAGTAAGGGATCAAGCATTTGGAATCATTGAGAGGCTTGAAGAGTGTAACTAGTGAATTTGTTTTTTTACGGTGTCTTATCTGTGCATTTTTTGTTTGAGTTCCGACATTTTTATCTTTGCAGGCATTTTTTATCTCTCTCTCTCTGTCTGTCTAGTTTGCAAATTTTAAACAAATCTTCTGGCTACCCCATCAATTCAAATGGTCGATCCCTAAATTATAGTATTGTGGTTGACAAATATACAAATGCATGCACGTTTGTTTCGTCATACGTCAATTACATACAATAACGTATGTTTTCGAAGTAAACTACGAGAAAAAAATCAGCTTGTCAAAATAATAATAAAACGCATCACCGGACAGAGTCGATAGCAAAACCAAACATACAATATCAAAATAATAAAATTCACCACGACATCACATTAAAAAAACGACCAGGATAATAACAATAGCAAACCACCACGATATCAAAACAACAAAATTCACCACGACATCACAA